GGTTAGTGCTGGCTTCTCGGGAGGTGACATGAGGCTGGTTCCAGGGGATTATAAATGCTTCGCTAGGTGAGGGTGTCTTTCCTGCTGCCTTGAAAGAAGCGGTGGTGAGGCCTCTCCTCAAGAAGCCTTCCCTGGCAATGGGGGATTTACTAACCGGCAATGTTAGTAAATTATCGTCCGGTCTCCAACCTTCGTTTTGTGGCGAAGGTTGTTGAGAGTGTGATTGCGCAACAGCTCCCCCAGCACCTGGATGAAATGACGTATCTGGATCTGTTCCAGTTGGGCTTCAGGCCCGGGTACAGCATGGAAACGGCATTGGTTGCATTGGTTGATGATCTCTGGAGGGCTCGGGACAGGGGGTGCTCCTCTGTCCTGGTCCTGTTAGATCTCTCAGTGGCTTTTGATACCATCGACCATGGTATCATGCTGCACCGGTTGGAAGAGTTAGGGGTGGGAGGCACTGTGTTGTGGTGGTTCTCCTCCTTTCTCTCTGACCGGTCGCAGTCTGTGTTGACAGGGGGACAGAGGTCGACCCCGAGGCCCCTCATATGTGGGGTGCCGCAAGGGTCGGTCCTCTCGCCTCTCCTGTTCAACATTTATGTGAAGCCGCTGGGTGAGATCATCTGTGGTTTCGGGGTGGAGTACCATCAGTAAGCTGATGACACCCAGCTGTACATCTCCATCCCGGATCATCCCAACGATGCCCTTGAAGTGATGTCCCGGTGCCTGGAGGCCGTACGGATCTGGATGGGGAGGAACAGGCTCAGGCTCAACCCATCCAAGACCGAGTGGCTGTGGTTTCCGACGTCCCGATATAGTCAGTTGATGCCATCACTGACTATTGGGGGCGAATCATTGGCCCCCACGGAGAGGGCTCGCAACTTGGGCGTCCTCCTGGATTCACGGCTGTCTTTAGAAGAGCACTTGACGGCCGTGACCGGGAGGATTTTTTATCAGGTCCGCCTGATTCGCCAGTTGCGTCCCTTTCTGGATCGGGACTCGTTACGCACGGTAACTCATGCCCACGTCACCTCCCGCCTGGACTATTGTAATGCTCTCTACATGGGGCTCCCCTTGAGGAGCACCCGGAGGCTCCAACTGGCGCAGAGTGCGGCCGCGCGGGTGGTAATGGGAGCGACATGGTGCTCCCATGTAACACCTCTCCTGCGTGAGCTGCACTGGTTCCCGGTGGTCTTCCGGGTGCGCTTCAAGGTTTTGGTTACCACCTTTAAAGCGCTCCATGGCTTAGGGCCTGGTTATTTACGGGACCGCCTACTACCACCAATAGCCTCCCACCGGCCAGTACGCTCTCATAGAGAGGGACTCCTCCGGGTGCCGTCAGCCAAACAGTGTCGACTGGCGGCCCCTAGGGGGAGAGCCTTCTCTGTGGGGGCACCTACCATCTGGAATGAGCTCCCCCCGGAGATACGGAGGATCCTGGATCTGCGCTCCTTCCGCCGTGCTGTGAAGACCTTTTTATTCCATCAAGCGGGCTTGGCCTAATCTCTTCCCTTTTTAAATATGTAAATTTTAATCTGTTTTTAAATTATTGGGGTATTTTAATTTGTCTGGGCCAAATAATTTAATTTGATTTTATCTGGTTTTTAAATTTTGTGTATTTATGTATTTTATTGTTGGCTGTTCACCGCCCTGAGTCCTTCGGGAGTAGGGCGGTATACAAATAAAATAAAAAAAAATAAAATAAAAAAAACACTGTTAAGTAACACCAGCTGCCTGCAATTACTGCAAGTTCAATTCTCACCAGGCTCAAGGTTGACTCAGCCTTCCATCCTTTCGAGGTAGGTAAAATGAGAACCTGGTTTGTGGGGGCAATAAGCTGACTTTGTATAAAAAAGAACACCGCTTGGGGAGGGGGGGGGCGAAAGCCCTACTAAGCAGGTATATACAAAAGTATGAAGGCTATTGCTTAACGCATTGTAAGCCACCTTGAGTCTCCAGAAAAGGGCGGCATATAAATCGAACAAATAAATAAATAAATAAGTTCCAATAGTAATAGGTGCCTTGGGGGCAATTCTAAAACAACTGGAGCACTATCTGGACATTCTCAGCATTGACAAAATCACCATCAGTCAATTGCAAAAGGTAGCTTACATTCTGTGATGATATCTTTAGCTACATCAAACATCAACATTTCCCTATCCAAAGTCATTGGGAAGGATTTGATGTTTGGATAAAAATGCCAAATCCAGTCTAAACATGTGACTGGCTGTGCAATAAACCAATAATAACCTGATTATAACCAGTGTAGAGTAATACCTCTATTCTACTCAGTGTAGCCTATTAACAAGAATGCTTCTCACAAACTATTTTTGTGGCCATTTTCTACAATAATATAGCAAAAGCAGCAAGCCATAAAGCAGCTTACTGTATTATGATGGCAACAGAGCACTTTCATTCTATTTCACAGATGAAAATGGGCACACCCTTGTGTGCTTGTAATAAACATGTCCTTACACCAAAGTTTTTTTTTTTTTTTTTTTTTTGCTTGAGCAACTCCATCTCTTTCTCACATGCTGGTAAATGCTTTTTATTGCTTCAGGTATTGATTTATTTTACAAGCAATGTATCCTGTGCTGATTTAAAAGCAAAGAGATTTGTTCGGTTAAAGATGTATACTAGAAAAATGTAATTGGGCCTTATAATGTGTTACTAACCATTCAAAATTGGCTTTAGCAATAGCTGGCAAACAAGTGACTCTTATTCTCTTTCATTTATAAGAGATAAGTGGAATTGCAATTAACTTTTTAAAAAAATTTGGGGAGGAATATTGGAATTGAACTGTTTTCTGTATGTACATGCTGCTATGCTTGATCTCTAAATTACCATAAAATGCTTCTCCAGATATAGTTCCAGTATAAGGATGCTATAATGTAATATTATAACATTTTTGTGTTTTTACTTTCTGTTTCTGTAGGACTAAATTGCATAATGCTCTTTTTTCCTTTCTCTTTCCCTCTCTCTCTTTCCCTCTTATTTTTCTTTCTTTTTTTCTCTCTCTTTCTTTCTATTTCTCTATTTCTCTCTTTTCATCCCATTCTATAGTATGGTTAATTGTACGGGGTACCATTCATTACTTTCTAAAACTTCAGAACATTAAAAACTTTACAGAATTTATGACCTTACTTTATTCTTCTGCATCCTGAAAATGAATCTCATTGCTGATTAATATAGATTAAAAGATGGTGTCAGAAGTAACTGTCCTCTCAAAGATTCTAATGGCTGCGTGCTGAATTGTGATAAGCTCATTTTCCTGATGTATCATTTCTGCCATGGTAAAAGGATGGAAAGGCAGAAAAACAGCCTTCTATTCATGTAGAAATTGTAATAATGTTTTGCTGAGCTGAAAAGAGAGCTGACTTTTTGTGATTTGATGAAAGGCAAAAGAAGAATTGGCAACATGCAGAATGATAGTGATTATATAGTTGTGTTATCTAAGAGCTCAGTAGGTGAATAAAGTAGGACATTTTCACATTAAATATCTAATCTAGGAACGTACCTATAATTATAGTATATGTTGTGACAAGGATATATAGTATACAGGACTGGTATTCATATGGATATATTTATATACATGTACACTACAGACAGAATATACATTTTTCCTCATTTCCAGAGATGATTTTATTTTTTATTTTTTAATATACTAAGACCAGGGATATCTCCAGGGTATGTAAAAAAACATGACAGCCACAACAATGGCTATTATGATTTTACACACATATATTTGTGCAATGCATGTAAAATGCATGTAAAAAACAAGATCTTCTTGGTTTTTATATGCATTGCATGTGTGATGTTCATAAAAAATAAGCTTTTATTGTAGCATTATGGCTACAATTTATTTATTTATTTATTTATTTAGTTAGTTAGTTAGTTAGTTAGTTAGTTTGTCAAACATAGACGAGATAACAGGTATAAGTATAAACATGGACATGAACACAGTTAATGAGTACAAATAAATGGAACTTGACTTTTCTGACACATCCTTAGACCCCCTGAGGAAGACCAAGAAAATGCTGGTTACTTTTCGGATGGGAGATGTGCCAGAATACCCTCAAAGATCCAAACAGTGGAGAGGCCCAATATTTAATTCTCTATATGGCCTATTCAGGAAAGCATTATGGGAAGAAACTAAGGCCATCAGAGCAAAAGCAACTGTACATGAGAAGTGAATGAAGGCTGGAAGGAGAATAGTGATCCACAAGAAGTCAGAACAAGGAACTGAGTGTTAAAGCATAGTAGTAAGCTGTGGGGTGGGGGTGTGAGGAGAGAAAATAAATGTTCCTCCAAATTGCTCAATACCATCACCCAACCAGCTCCCAGCAAGAGAAAACAAGATAGTACCCAACAGGCAGTTGGAACAATGAAAGATTTCTCATACCAGAAGTTAGTAGTTCCCACTGAAAAGTTTTCACTCCACTTTGCTTCTAAAGTCTACAAATTAAAAAGAATATATTTTTATCTCTTTTTATTACTCTAATTCATTTCCTTTTCACACTGTCCTGTCAATCACTGCGTGTGTTTAAATACAAAGCACATGCAGATGTGAGACACATTTTATGTGAATATTCATGAACTGTGGATATTCCACCTATCAAATTTGGTTTTCAAATTGACTATGTGAATCAGAGTGTTCTTTTAGAGTTGTTCACTAGATAAATTGGAAGCAGAGAGGCTTCTTCCTTTAACTTTTTTTCGAAATTCAAGAGAGGAGAATAATTAATCACTATACCATTTTAATGAAAAAGAGTTTCGCCAAAGAAATATTGTCCAGGTAATAATTTACTTTCCATTTGTTGCATTGAAGTCTTTTTAAAATCTCTTTTATCAATGCTTTTTACAAAAGAAAGAAAAAGTCCTTTTCTGAAACTCCCCTGCTGAATTGCTGGCCTTGCGATGAACCACTACAGTGTCTCCATAACTGAAAATAGGTGTGTCTTTCATTTTTTTCCCCCCTTGTCTGTCTTTCTTTCTTCTAGTGTATACCAATTAAAGGCCTGGGATTTGTGCTTGGAGCCTACTCATGCATTTGTAAGACTGGATTCTATAATCCCAAAATATTTTCAATGAACATCTTTCACAGTAAGTGCCTTTGCTTGAGTCTGCAAGAGAGAACACATTAATAATGTAAGATTCCCTTTTATCCTTGTCAGGGTTATGCACTCGACTCTAACGTTCTGCAACTCAGGGATTATATAATCACTTAAGGAATTTTAGGCCTGTGGTTTGTCATCTGTGATGCTCTCTACAGTCTGTAAAACATATCTACTTTTATGGTATTTGATTTGTAAAAGCTTTGCTCTTAGGCTGTTACAGTTTTCAGAACCAATATAAGGATAGCAGCTATTTTAAAATGCATATTAGTTGTCTTTTTGTTAATTTTAATCCTTCCCCTATATCAGTGTTTTTCCAACCTTAGCAATTTTAGATGGGTGGACTTCAACTCCCAGAATTCCCCAGCCAGCATTCTGGGAGTTGAAGCCCACTCATCTAAAAGTTGCTGAGGTTGAAATATACTGTATTTCTCTATATAACTCAGCTATATAAAATGTTTAAATGTATTCTCGGTCTACAATCTATAGAAATTACAAGCCGTATTCTCAAATTCATGGGTGTCTTTAAATCTGTTAAACTTAACTTTCTTATAGGTTTCTCTGAAAAGGGAAATTTGCTCAATCTCCCTTGGGCCAGTAGAATGAATAATTTAATCTGATCAGACAGTCATGAGTGGTGTATAGAATTAAATATAGCGAGAGTCTTCCTTGTACTTTTTAATATTTGTACATAAGTTATGCTCAGTTTACTCTCAGAGGCATCTACAGCAATGGCTACCGACTTCAAAATTGTAAGTATAAGTCCTTCTCCCTTTGAAAGTATGTTGTATTTTAAAATGGCAAGAGGTTGCAATCACTTGGTCACCCCCATCACTTTAAAACAGGTGCATATTGTTAATAATGCCAAGGTGGCGCAGTGGTTAGGGTGCAGTACTGCAGCTACTTCAGCTGACTGCTAGTTCAGCAGATCAGCGGATCAAATCTCACCGGCTCAAGGTTGACTCAGCCTTCCATCCTTCCGAGGTCCCAGATTGTTGGGGGCAATATGCTATTTAGTATACTGTCTTTGGTGTAAACCGCCCAGAGTCCTCGGAGAGTGGGCGACATAGAAATTTGAATAATAAAATAAAAATAATAAAATAAATAAATAAATGCCCCTGTTTATTCCCATGATATATAATTCTACCCCAATAAAAGTTGCCCTGTTGGCTTGCATGTGTTGGCTTGCATGGTCCTATTAGTACTTCTGGCTCCCACTATCTCTAGGATTAATGTTGCTAAATTCTATGATAATTTGTCTCTCCAAAGAAATGTTTCTTCTTTATGATTTTGCCCAAGGAATACTGACACTGGTAGTTCTTTGTAAAGCAAATCACATACATAAGCACAAATCTACTGCTATAATAATACATGAATTTGTTTACAAGTAAGTATGAACATATATATCACAGATGTTATATTGCATCTGGACCACAAACATCCAAACAGCTACTTCTTAGAATTTCTCTTGACTTTCATCTACTGGTCATTTGGATTCTTGCAACCCAATTATTGTAACCTTGTATTAGATGCATCTGAAAGTTTGCAGGAAACCAGAGACCAGGTTTTCCAAAGCCCGCAGGCCGGATTCTGCCCACAGGGTGTTTAGATCTGGCCCGCAGGGACGCCCTGGAAACAACAAAGGAGTGGCCCGCAGTGCATCTGCCAGCCAAAATGGAGCTTGTAAGAGGCGTGTGTGGCCCCCCTGGGCTCCATTTTTGCTGGCAGAGGGTTGCAGGAGGTTGTCGTGGCTGAAAGCAGGGCCCAGAGGGGCTCATGCACTCTTCATGGGCTACATTTTCACTGGAAGAGGGCTAGCAAAACAAATTAAAAACTAAACAAAAGAAAAAATGTTTCTCCTTTTGCATTTGAGCGTGCAAGAAGGGACAGGAAAGGAGAAAGGGAAAGAGGAAAGAAAAAGAAGGAAAGATAGGAAGGCAGCAAGGAAGGAAAAATAAGGAAAGAAAGGAGAAAGGAGAATAAAGAAGGAAGGAAAAAGAAGAGAAGGAAGAAAAGAAGGAGGGAAGGAAGGAGGAGGGGGAGGGAGGGAGGGAGGGAGGGAGGAAGATTATAATGAGTGTGAGGGAGGGTCTGAGAGTAGTTATGCCTTAGTACTTGGCCACCACAGATGCCCCTGTCATGAATGATGTCAAGCTGAGCACACCCACCCTGGCCATGCCCACCATGCCCACACCCACCTGGCTATGCCCCCCATCCACCCCCCACGGTCAAACACAACTCTGATGTGACCCTCAATGAAATTGACTTTGACACCCCTGTTCTAGAGCTCCTTCCTCCAATTGTTGTTGTTCAGTCACTAAGTCATGTCTGACTGTTTGTGACCTCCTAGACCACAGCACACCAGCCCCCCCCAGTCCTCTGGGGTTTGCCCAAATTCATGGTCATTACATCATTGATAATCAGCTCATCATCTGCCCCTTTTCCTTTAACCTTCAATCTTTCCCAACATCAAATGACCAATGACCTTCCTTCAATCAGCTAATGTAATATATGCCCAAGAATATTCAATATAGAAGTTCTGCTCTGTCTGACAATCAACAAGGAATAATGGCCAATGACACTAACGTGTGAGTTCAGGGAAGAATATAAGAATTGACAGGGAAGAGAGCAGAAGTTATCTCTTGGTTCCAGTTATAGTCCATCTAGCTTACAAGTGGAAGTGCCAAGCAGTACTTCTAATAATAGGACAGAATAATTGCAGAAAAAAATAGTGAACAAATAAAATTAGAAATGAGTTGGCAATATGTACATAAACCTAGAATCTAAAAAGTATCTATATGGCAAATTCAAACTAGATTAATCTTATTTTAGATGTGTTTCTTCCAAATTGTAGCACTAAAATTAGCATTCATGGTGATAATTAATAAAAATCCAAAGCCAATATTAAATAAATGCTGGCACACATATAGCCACTTGCAAGAACATTGCACAGAATTTACATAGATCGTTGCTTCTGAGGAACTGAATTTTTTAAAAAAATCAGGCTCTCTGCCTGCCAAACTGAATATATGCATCTTTTCAGAACTAAAGGGTAAGATAGCTCATATCAAGTGTCAAACTATGAAAGGAAAAGCCACAGATTTAAAGTCAGTAATGTACCCTGTCACCTCTCTTGCTACATAAAACAAGACTACTAACTCTAGAGTCTAAGCACTGATATCATTGAAATGAATGCACATTGAGAATTTTATAGTACATCACATTCAGTCATGACCTCAAGAGCTATTTTGCAAAGCTTGAGAAAAAGAAAAATGGATTTGGACAGAATAAAAACAGTGCAAAATGCTCTTACGGGAGAAAACATCCTTCTCAAGAAAGAGAGAAGAAAACACGGTGGAGCCAAATAAGGTTGGATGTAGGGAAATATTGGAGATGAGCAATACAATTTGAGTTATAATTATTTAGAAATCGGCCCCTTTAATTTTCAAGAGGATTTAGCAAAACATTTAGGACTAAGAGCAGGAGTGAATCATGCTTATTTGCTAATTGGGCAGCATTTCTTAATTACAGCTTTAAGTCAGTCCCCAGGTGATTCAGTTGAGAAAGTGGGTTAGATGTTCTGTTTTCTAAAAACATGCATTTTACATTCCTACTTTAGTTCAGAAAGCTATTTGTGCCGAGCTCAAAAAGCAGAATTTGCGTTTGCAACCTCCAGTGCTCTGTGAAATTTCCTCAGCACATTAGTTTGAAAAAAGATTGTTTATCTAACAGCCAGCTCTGCAAACCCAGCAAGGAATCTGAAAGTCAAGCTGTGTTCTTGCTTGCTCACCATCATTAATAATCAAGAGTTTGCCGGCCAAATGCCTCTACCACTTAAAATTTTGCCATCCTTCTGCTTTCTGTAAGGCTGCACAGTTGTAGGTCGAGGCAGAACTGGGAGGTAAAGTGGGCTGCCGAGATGGCAGGGCAGATGGGATTGTGTTTGCAGTTCTGTTTCTCAGGCTAATGCCAAAAAATAGACAAGTTGTTAATTTTTTGGAACTGCCTCCAAAGGCTCAGAAAGCAAACCAGTCCCAACTAGAAGCAGTGGGAATCTGCCCTGCTTCAGAAGCCTTGCAGAGAAAAGGAGCAAATGGCTTTAAATAGCCTTTAAATGGCATGTAAAAATGATACAGATGTTAGCAAGTAGGATATCAAAATCAGGTATTCTTACATGGCAAGGAACCAGAATGAAAAGCAGGTAATCTGGATTATGAGCAAGTACTTGGAGTTTAGATTTACAAGCCAATGGCTAACAAGTTCCAGGCTAAAGAGGTCTGCCCAAATTGATACATGCATATTATTCAGAAGTCATCTTTTGCCTTCATTAGTAGATCATGTCTGTGAACGTGTTGGTTGTCTTGTTGAGTTTGGCTATCCTGTGTGTAATCTGTTGCTTTCCGGTTCCATTTTTTGTAGTCCCAAGAAATCCCTACAACTGCATTAGCATCTCAATAAAAAAACAGAGATGCTTCAAATCCATAAAAGCAACAAGAACTCCTCAATTTACCCATGTGCATTATATGGATTTTTGCATCATCACTCACCTATCAAAGCCCTAATTTCACCCAATCCTGTAAATGCCTTACTCACTGGGAGATTATTTTATATATTAAGCCCAAAGAAATCCTAATATTTAAATCGAGTCCAGATGTGCTGTGTATCCATAAACATGACTATATCAGCAATATAATTGAATGCAACATAGTGTTATGTTCAAATGGAATGGTTTTTTAAAAAAATCATAACTACATTTTTTGAAAGCAAGAGGCAGTGGACAGCTCTCATCCCTTATAACAGTTTACTGTTATAAGACCTATCCTATGTAAAAAATTGGTCCATGCATTTTCTTCTTTTTCCATCCTCTTCTCTTCTCTCTTTTTCCTTTTTTGGATTATAGTAGTGGCCAAAATTGTGAAAACCTTTTGGGAAAAGTGTATTTTCTAAAACTAGCTATTAACATCAGTTGTTTTTTTTTTTGAGTAGTACCATAAAATTATATATCAATGGAAATATATCAATGGTAATGCAATAATTTTTATGAAGGATTTGCTATTAAAATAGCAGTTACAGTATAAAGAAGAAAAGTGAAACACATAGAAAAAACAAGATATACAAAAATTATCACCATAAAAAAAATGAGATATACAAAAATTATCACCATGTCAGTTAATACTTAGCTGGGTAACCTTTAGCATGAATTACGGTCTTACAACGTCTTCCCATGGAGTGAACCAAGTCTTTTAGCTATGCTGTTGTTATAATGTGAAACCAAGTTTGAATCATTGCTTCTATTAACTGGGTTTTATTGCTGGGTCACTTCTGACTAACAAGTTTCTTTAGTTGGCTCCATAGATTTTCAATTGGATTAAGGTCTGGGCTATTCCCAGGCCATTCCAGCAGTGGAATAGGATTATCTTGAAACTCCCCCCAAAAGTGGTGTTATTAGCTATCAAACCTCAAAAATACACTTTTCCCAAAAGGTTTCCACAATTTTGGCCTCTACTGTATATATGTGTCTTTAGTCCCGGCAGGGGTGTCACGCTGGCAGTTTGCGGGCTGGATGCATCACACGCAGGTCATGCCCCCCCAGTTCTGCAAAGGGAAAAAATATCGCAATACGTCACATGATGGCAACATGATGCAGCAAGTTTGACACCCGTGCTTTAGTGAATGGTAGAAGGAAAGTAACTCCCTCCCTCCCTCCCTCCCTCCCTCACACTGTCATCAGCAAGGAAGCCTTGTTTGAAGAGAAGCTAAGAAATCTGCCCCTCCTTTTCACTGGCCTCACAATTGAACCATTGTCACTTTGGTAGGAAGTTGTAGGCATTATTTGTCTCACACATATACACAGATCCTGCCTTTTAGTACGTCCCTTTTTTGTTGACAAAATAATACATTACTACAGTATTTCTCAACTTCAACAACTTGTGGACTTCAATTCCCAGAATTCCTCAGCTGGCACTGACTGGGGAATTCTGGGAGTTGCTGAGGTTGAGAATCATTGTAATAGATCAATTTTAACAAATCTGTAAGCCAAATCCTTGCAAAGGTCTTTTGGAAATCAGCCCAAAGGGTGCATAAAATTATACTGAAGACTGCAGGCTGATCCAGCTATATTTGGATTTATTTTCTCCTAATTTGGGAGATTAGAATTTGCTGCCTACCTATGAAAACTTCTTAAAACATTAAAATGATTAAGAGATCATTTAGTTGGGTTATTAAATTTAAAGATGTTTCGATTAAAATAAATACATGTAAAACTTTTTTCTGAGTCAACTGTATCTCTCTAAAAATAAGTGAATATATAAGAACTGATCTGTAAGACATGGTCTCCCCAAATGAGAAATAATTTACACAAGGATTTTTCTTATCATTGAGAAAGTTTCCTTCCAATCTCTCTAAAATTTGCAAATATTCTCTTTTCCCACATCATTCTTTATTTTTTTAAAAAAACCCTTGCAAGTAAATTATTTTCAGATATTTCTGTGTGCAGTTTTGCATACATTTCATTGTAATGCCCTTGAAGTGATGTCCCGGTACCTGGAGGCCGTACGGATCTGGATGGGGAGGAACAGGCTCAGGCTCAACCCATCCAAGACCGAGTGGCTGTGGTTTCCGACGTCCCGATATAGTCAGTTGATGCCATCACTGACTATTGGGGGCGAATCATTGGCCCCCACGGAGAGGGCTCGCAGCTTGGGCGTCCTCCTGGACTCACGGCTGTCTTTAGAAGAGCACTTGACGGCCGTGACCGGGAGGATTTTTTATCAGGCTCGCCTGATTCGCCAGTTGCGTCCCTTTCTGGATCGGGACTCGTTACGCACGGTAACTCATGCCCACGTCACCTCCCGCCTGGACTATTGTAATGCTCTCTACATGGGGCTCCCCTTGAGGAGCACCCGGAGGCTCCAACTGGCGCAGAGTGCGGCCGCGCGGGTGGTAATGGGAGCGACATGGCACTCCCATGTAACACCTCTCCTGCGTGAGCTGCACTGGCTCCCAGTGGTCTTCCGGGTGCGCTTCAAGGTTTTGGTTACCACCTTTAAAGCGCTCCATGGCTTAGGACCTGGTTATTTACGGGACTGCCTACTACCACCAATAGCCTCCCACCGGCCAGTACGCTCTCATAGAGAGGGACTCCTCCGGGTGCCGTCAGCCAAACAGTGTCGACTGGCGGCCCCTAGGGGGAGAGCCTTCTCTGTGGGGGCACCTACCATCTGGAATGAGCTCCCCCCGGAGATACGGAGGGTCCCGGATCTGCGCTCCTTCCGCCGTGCTGTGAAGACCTTTTTATTCCATCAGGCGGGCTTGGCCTAATTTCTTCCCTTTTTAAATATGTAAATTTTAATCTGTTTTTAAATTATTGGGGTGTCTTAATCTGTCTGGGCCAAAATGATTTAATTTGATTTTATCTGGTTTTTAAATTTTTTGTATTTATGTATTTTATTGTTGGCTGTTCACCGCCCTGAGTCCTTCGGGAGTAGGGCGGTATACAAATCAAATAAACCTAAACCTAAACCTAATACATATTCTTAAATATTCTCATATAATGAAAGTTGCTGATATGTCATTTGGGTCAACATCTGTATTATAAAATGTAATTCTAATAAACAATTATAATATTTATACACAAATAAACTAAAGAATATCTGGGTAATGTCAGGCTTTGGAACAGATTACAAAAAATGAAAAAAAAATCAAGGAGGTATTCACTGATGATGGTTGAATCTATTGGGATCTATTTTCACAACTGAACTGAAACTTATCAGCTTGAGAAGCAGCATTTAAAATTTGTCTTGCCAGTTTATATCACAATAGTTCACTCATCTGGAAGAGTTCCTGCAATATAATGTTTTACATTGTCATCCATCTATATTATATGTGGTCAAAGGTGAATTAATGCTCAAGAAAGGTAGCTGTGTTAACTGGTTTTTAAACTATAATTTCATTACGATGTATATTTTAAGCTGCCTGTATGTAATTGTGAAGTTATGTCTTATAAACGTCTGCTGATCTTTTCAACTTTAAGAAAAGTAAAAAGTAGTGCAGTAGTCCACTTAACAATGAGTCAAGCCAATTTCTACAGCAGTCCGAACTACAACTTCAAGTGCTGAGTTACATATGTACATAAGTTGTGAGCAATCAAATCAGATGATCCCCAAATAAAGTTTATTTAAACAGACACAGTTTACAAAGATAGCTGGTGTTCTTCAATGTAGAAGAGGTACTTTGAGCACAAGACCTATTTAAAGAAATAAAACCAAATTTTCTATTTTCTGAGTGAAACTCCCCAAAAGACACATTTCTCCTGTATTTCTACTACTTGAATGTATACTCTTATCTTTCCTCTTCCATATCTGATACTTTTAGGGAAGAATGCTGAGAGCCATTTTACTAGGAGTGAGATGGCTGAGGATTTGTACACCTGCTTGCCCTGCAGGGAAGGATGTTCTGACTGTACAGATGATACTCCCTGCTATGCACAGGAGGACCACTATTTACGACTTGCTATCATTTCCTTCCAAACTCTCTGTATGCTATTGGACTTCATAAGCATGCTGGTGGTCTACCGTTTTCGCAAGGCAAAGGTAAATGTACCATTTTTTTAAAAAAAAAATCACCTTTCTCATTTTGTTTGTCATAAATAGCTTTATCAGGGAATTATCTGCAATTGTTCCAACAGTCTTAATAAGTAAGACTTATTTATTACTTTACTTCATAAGTAAGGCTGAATCAAGTGGGCTACAGAGAAAGTTCTGTTAGACAGATCAAACATACCGGTGGATCCAATTCAAGGTATTTTAATACTTCAGATCTTCGTGCTGTAGAACTATTGAGCATTTACCTGCATTGATCCCTGATTGTTTACACAGACACAGCAGTAGAGAGTAAAGAAATTCTAGCCCTGACTGTAAGGTCTGAGCAATAGTACAGAGTGTAGAGAAAAGTTTCCTAAGAGAAAGCATTGCATTCTCACCAGGCAGATGCAAGGCTGAGCTCAAAATGTAGCAATCAGTTCTCTGGCTGAATATTCAGTTCCTCTGTGCAGTTTTTATTCTATGTTGAATGACATGGGGTTTGTCCACACAGAATTTAGGTATTGTTTTGAATTCCCCAACTCTTATCTCCAGCAGGAAAACCTGGGATGCTTTTGAAAGATCTTTCACTTTTTCACTACATTTTCACTTAACTTTAACAGTTGGGACCTGCAGCTCCATCCTTAAGTGACAAGGTCCTTAAGCAAGACATCATGAGACTGTGATGGACTTACAACCTCACTTCTGCTGTGGTTGTTAAACAAGACATCATATTGCTATGAGCTGCAATTTTATTGTCAGCTTCTTTATTAACTGTTGTGATCACAAATAGTGATCACAAGACTGCAGAATGTTGCAATGGTTATAAATGCAATAGCTGCACAAGATTCAGTCATTTTCTCATTGTTGTGGGAAAAACAAAACCCTCCCCATAGAAGAGTGCAATGATATTTTAATACTGCCTGTAAAAATAAAGGCATTGTCAACTCAAAAAGCATTTCTAGTCCTTCTAGAACAGAGGTCTTCAAACTTGGCAGTTTTAAGACTTGTGGACTTCAACTCCCAGCATAGCTGGCTGGAGAATTCTGGGAGTCGAAGTCCACAAGTCTTAAAGCTGCCAAGTTTGAAGACCTCTGTTCTAGAACCTTGACAGGCATAAAGTTACTTTTCATAAAATCACTTTTTTCAGCGCCATTGTAACTTCAAATGATTGCTAAATGGGGCAGTTGTTAAGTGAGGACTACCTGTTTGATAGCAAACCATGTTACCCAATCCTGCTAACAAATGGCACAGCAATTATTTTATAGCTGGGGGTAGGAAAATGAAAGTATTGATTTCACTGATATTATTAGCGTGTCCCATGGGACACAGAGAAAGGAACAATTTAAAATTGTATCAGGACATAGGCACAAACTGCAGACAGAACTGAGTCAGAACTCAGATATTATATAAATAAATAATAAATAATTATTTATTAATAAATAAATAAATAAATAAATAAATAAATAAATAAATAAATATTGGAAATATGGTCAAAAGGGAAATAAGAACCAAATAAAAAGGTAGTATTCAGAAGCAGTATCAGAGCCAAATATCAACTTTGTTGATAGGGATGTGGCATCCTCTGAAAATGGGAAAGCACCCCTCATAATTTTTTCCAAATTAAAACATAGATACCTAGCTGAGTTGGCAGATCTCAAAAAACTAACGAGGTCAGATCTGATTAGAATTTGCATGTGAGACCACCAGGAGATCTCAGGATTATAGGCAATTTTGGAAGTTTAAAATACATCTCAGAAAACAGAGTTAAGCCATTTATATATTGTTGTCGTGGAAATGTCCAAATCCAGTCACGATTCCCGCAATACCCAAGTTTTATGCTGCTGGGATGATAACAAGGCAAAACTGATTAAAGTAGTAAAGATTTATTTTTGTCAATATCTTGTTTAATTATTTTTAAATAATTTTAGAGGACATATATACCGTATTTTTCAGAGTATAAGATGCATCTTTTTCCCCTCTAAAAGGGGGTGAAAATTTAGGTGTATCTTATACACCGAATGTAGCCCCGCCCACCCACTGGCCCCCACCCTTTGGCCTGTGCCTCGCAGCAGTTACCTCCTTGCAAGCAAACAGCAAGAAAAAACAGCTCCTTTCAACTTCAGCACAGTCTAATTAGCACAATTTGATTGGATCGGCTTCCTGACCCTCAGCTGATTTGCTCTCAGCTGTTTTTCGCAGGGCTCTGCTGCTTGCTGCAAAGAGGTAAATTGCTGGAGCAGATTTTTTTCCCCCTTGTGCTAATCAAGCTATGCTGAAAACGAAAATGAAAGTAAAGCAGGCAGTTTGCTGTTTGCTGCAACGAGACAAAATTGCTCAGAGGCAGAGGCAGAGAGAGATTTCTTTCTTCTTTTCTTCACCAAAAAAGGTAGGTGCGTCTTATACTCCGAAAAATGCGGTAGTTATATTCTATTAAATGTATTGCTGTTGCATAAATAAACTTGTTATTATTGTAATAGGATGTTCCAATATATGATATTTGATTTATTCTATATTTTCAATATATAATTCTATTTACTTCTCTCTGTTGATCCTGATTGTATTTGTTATCTTTTATTCCTTTTTTTATTACCTTATGTTGACCAAATAAATAAATAAATCAAAATGTCCATGCAATCATGCACATAGGAAGAGTCTTTACCTTTACACATACATAAATGTTTATAAGACATACAGTACAATAGTGGCAAAGATATGTAGTTTGGGTGTAGGATGAGGGTTCATTCTCCAAGCTTGTGGGTTGTTTTCTGAATGCTTCATTACCAGGCTAGGTAACATCTTTAGCAGAGTTTAGGGGATATCAGTGCCAGTGTTCTTCTGTTTATCCATAATCTCTACCCACACCAACACCAAACAGCAGCAGTTCAGTTGGAGTCCAGAGATATTTCACGAGAAGAGTCCTCCATTCCTCTGCTCGCAACAGAATTCTTTATGCCACCAGACTTGAAATTTTGGGATTAGACAATTTAGAACTTCGCCGCCTTCTGTCTGACCTAAGCCTAGTACATAAAATTATCTGCTACAATGTCCTACCTGTCAATGACTACTTCAGCTTCAACCACAACAATACACGAGCACACAATACATACAAACTCAAGGTAAACGGCTCCAAACTTGACTGCAGAAAATGCAACTTCAGCAACAGAGTGGTCAATGCCTAGAATGCACTACCTGATTCTGTGGTTTCTTCCCCAAAGCCCAAAAATTTTAACCTTAGACTGTCTACTGTCAACCACACCCCATTCCTAAGAGGTCTTTAAAGGGCGTGCATAAGCGCACCAGCGTGCCTACCATCTCTGTCATAATGTTCCCTTTTATTCGTATCAATGTCATGTATTCATAATCATGTTTATACTTACATCTATTATCTAATATATGCTTGACAAAAATAAATAAATAAAAAATAAATAAATAAAATAAAAATCATTGGCCATGCTACCACCCACCACGCTCATAGGACCCGGGCATTCCACAAGCAATTCCATCATCAGACACATTGACCTACAACCAGCCCCGAACCCCTCAGAATCCAAATCAACTGCACAGCCAACCAGAGACAGCACCGACCCTCAACTAACCCATGCAACCTCCCACACAAACCAGCAGATGACCTCCCAATGACCCTGACCTGATGTAATCTCCTTATCACAAGACCCATCACAAGACTCACTGATGACTCACAGCTGACCCATCACAAGACCCTCACCTGACACACCCACACCTGAAGCCCTTATAAACGGAAGAACACTGACACTCCCTAAACTCCGCTGAATATGTTACCTAGCCTGGTAACGAAACATTCGGAAACCAACTCACAAGCTCGGAGAACGAACCCTCAATATACAGTACATTCTCACATAATACTGTGCCACAAGCCTCACTCTAAATAACACTGGTGTCTAGGGTGTGTGCGCACGCGTGCGTGTGTGTGATTGCACCAGACTGAATGAACTGGCCTTTAAAATAATTTTCCAGTTTACTCAATACAACCAGCAAAATCAAATGCACATTAAATACTTGAATCCAACTGCTAAAATTAATAGCTGCAATCACCTCTTACTATAAATAGACAGTCATTTCTATTTAGCCTTCCGAAGCAATAATTGCACAATCAACTGAATCTATCAGATTCTGTACTGGATGACTTCCTGTCAATTTCCTCAATTAAGCGCCTGGCAGGAAACCTTATGGCTGGCTTGAACAATTTTGCCTCCTTCTCTGCTTCCATCCTCTTTATGGCAGATCTTTGGTATTTGACAAGATGCTGAAACATGTGCTTGCTACAATTGTGATGTGTTGCAGAACTGGCTGTTGACATAATTCCATCCCACCCCAAAAACGCATCTGTTTAATACCCTGATGGTAACTTATCAAGAAAGGTCTATTCTAACTCCCCACAACCTTTTAGGTGTAAGATGTGCTGAGAGCTCTTTGGACCGAGCAGGTTCAACTGCCTACTTAGGCATTTTAGAGATAAACCTAAATTTCTGCAGATGTTTCTAACAAAAGAAATGTGCAGTATATTTTGAAATATGGCTTGGGGAAAGGATATAATGAAGCATGCTTTTTTCCCATGAGATGAAATGTTGGCTTAGTTTAGATATTTGTGAGGAATTGAACATGATTGTACATTTGTTTCTTCTTTCACATTTTTAAACTATAATTTTCTAATGAGATAAAATAAAACAAGAATGGGTAAAGCAATGAAAGTGAAACCAAAATGCAGGCAGCAATAAATACGAAATCTGAAAGTGGAAAATGAAATGTCTAAGATGAAAAAATGAAAATATATTTACATGGGCCTTAATAATCTTATACTAGAATAGCAATTCTCGAAGTGTAGCCTGAGGACCCCTGGTGGTCTCCAGAATATTTTAGGGTTCCATGGAGTCAAATATTTTGAAAATTCTCAGTTTTAATTTCTAATAAATATTGATAGTTATGACCCACATAAACCAAAGCTCTTTTAATATTGTAAATGTGTCCTAAGA